CAAGATGGTTCAAAGAGGAAAAGATTGTCTTTTCAGCAAATGGTACTGGTAAAACTGAACAGCCACATGTAAAAATATGTAGTTAGACTCTTACCTAACACCATGAACAAAAATCAACTCAAAATGAATCCATGACTAAGATTTTAAACTATAAAACTTTCTGAAGAAAAATAAGGCAAAATCTATTTTTAAAAAATATATTTCTATTGTTCTATTGATTTCAGAGAGGAAGGGAGAGAGGAAAAAAAGAGAAAGAAAGAAAGAAAGAAAGAAAGAAAGAAAGAAAGAAAGAAAGAAAGAAAGAAAGAAAGAAAGAAAGAAAGAAAGAAAGAAAGAAAGAGGGAGGGAGGGAGGGAGGGAGGGAGGGAGGGAGGGAGGGAGGGAGGGAGGGAGGGAGGGAGGGAGGGAGGAAAAAAGAGAGAAACATCAATGATGAAGGAGAATTATTGATCGGCTGCCTCCTACATGTCCCACACTGGGGATTGAGCCCATAATCCAGGAATGTGCCCTGACCAGGAATCAAACCATGACCTCCTGGTTAAACCACTGAGCCATGTTGGCTGAGCAAGGCAAAAAATCTTTACATTGGGTCTGTCAAAGATTTCTTAGATATGACTACAAAGGCATAGGAACCAAAACACAAAATTGACAAATTGGAGTTTATAAAAAATTTTAAATGTACATCAAAACACACTACCAACAGTATAAAAAGTCAGACCACAGAATGGAAGGAAATCATATATTCAATAAGAGATTAATATCTAGAATATATGGAGAACTCCTAAAGCTCAACAAGAAAACAGAGTTTTAAAATGAGCAAAGGACTTAAATAGACATTTCCCCAAAGAAGTTAAATAAATGGCCAATTGCTCATAAAAAGATATTGAACATAATTATTCATTAGGAAAATGTAAATTAAAATTACAATTAGATACCATCTTATGCCTATTAAAATAGTTACCTTCAAAAAGAAAAAAAACTAGAAATAAGGAAAGTTAGTGAAGGTATGAATAAAATCTGTTGGTAGGGATGCAAAATGGTTATAGGTATTGTAGAGAACGGTATGGTGGTTTCTCAAATACTAAAAATAGAACTACTATATCATACCACTTCTGGATATAGAGTCAAAAGGATTGAATGAAAGGTTTCAAGGAGGTATTTGTACATCCATGTCCATAGTAGCATTAGTCATAGTAACTAGAATGGGGAAAGAAACCCAACTATTCACCAACAAATGAATGGATAAACAAACTGTATATGTATACCATGGAATAATATTATTGTAAAAGCAATAGGACTTCTAAAATATGCATTTGATGTCTCTGCAAATTGACATGACTTCTACAATATAACTATTTTAAAATAGTTTTATTTATAACTAATCTTTTAAGAAAAGTTGTTTACATTTCCAACTCTTGCAAGTTCCAACACCCCCAAAAAAGTTACTAACTTTGTGTTAAATTTCTGTGCTTCATTTCTATCAATTCTTTGATGGAAACATCATAAAACCAGCATTGCTCAGGAGTTATTTTGGCCATGGCATCATCCCCATGCAGCATTTTGTGATTCAAATAGGACCAAATTAGAGAAACCTATAGCATCAGAGATTTTATAGGTAGTCTGTCAATTCCTAAAGTCAGAAACATAGTGATTTAAATATATATATATATATACATATATATATATCCATATATATATATGTGTGTGTATATATATATATATTCAATGATTTCAGAGAGGGAGGAAAGGAGAGAGAGAGAGAGAGAGAGAGAGAGAGAGAGAGAGAGAGAGAGAGAGAAACATCAATTATGAAAGAATCAATCATCAGCTACCTCTTGCACTTCACCTACTGGGGTTCGAGCCACATCCTGGCATGTGCCCTGACCAGGAATTGAACCATGACCTCCTTGTTCATAGTCAATACTCAACCACTGAGCCACACTAGCTGGGCAACATGGTGATTCTTGATGAAAATTTCCCCTTTTATTTTCATTGACACTTTGGGGACATTCTTTGCTTTTAAAAAACTATAACCAGGATGATTTACATTAGTAAAGGAACAAATCTGAAACCCCGTGTGCACTTGGTGTGCATAAGAGGTCATCAACATTCTGACACTATTTCTCTGTTTGTTCTTCCAATTTGGTGCTGTTCTTAATGCTAGGAATCATCAAAATATAGTCTTGGCCACACAGAGTTTACAGTTTACTGGAGGGAGATATATAATAGAAAATAACAAATAAAAACATAATGTGGTTTTAGAATTTACAAAATATTTTAAATGCATTATAACACATTCTTCATACCACTCCTGGAAGAAAAACATATTTTCCCCTTTCATAGAGGAGGGCATAAAATTTAGTCAGTGATGTCTAGGTCAAAAAACTTTGAGGGCAAAAATTATTCCTGCCTTGTTCATCTGACTCTATGGTAGTGAAAATAAAGATTCTCAATAAAGTTTGGTATTTAAATGAGAGCAAAAGGAGCTAAAGAACACCTTGACCTCATGAGCATAATGAAGTGTTAATAAGTACTTCTTCAGAACACTGTAACATAGAAGTATATGAAATTCTCAGAGACAAAAAAAAATATATGTGCTTGTAAATGAAAGTATTTTATATTACAAGTAATTTTCAAAGACATCTACTGTTTGAACAATATGTCTAAAATACCTAACTAAATATCTTATAGAATGAAACTACTCTATGTACTGAATGTGGAATCTTTCTCATTCTAGTCTATAAATCAGGGTTCAAATCTTATCTGCACAATTTTCTAGAGAATAAACTTTGGACAATTCTGATTTCAACTATGCTCTGAAAGCACCCATCTCTCTGTGTGAACAAATAAGATTTTCAATGTTCTTTTTCCTTTTCCCATACTCTTCCTTCTTTTCTCCTCCTCCCTCATGGTTCAGATTGCTCAAATCCATATTTAACTCAGCTTCCAAGCCTGGACTTAAATATCATTGTTTTCAGACTTGGACCACCAGGTCCAGGTTAGGTGGCTCATGGACTGTTCTGATAGTGGTCCTCATGCCATGTTTTGCTTTCTGTGTCTCTCACACTTTGTCAGCTCTGCGAGAAAAGGACCAGGTCTACTTTGTTTATTGTAGGGCCTATCAGAGTGCCTAGCCCAGACTAGGCAAGCCATAAATATTTCTTTAATGAAGGAATAAAGTTACTTAATTTCTGCAAGCCTCAGCTTTTCAAGTATAAAAAGGTGCTATATATAGCATCTACCTTATAGGATTGTTGTAGGGATTAAATTGAATGAATTAAGCAAAACACCTATATGATGCCTGTACAGAATATGTGGCCAATAAATGTTTTACTTTTATGACTATTCTAGAACTCTCTGCTACTTCTGCTCACTCAACCCACTCTAGAGAGCCTCTTAATTTCTCTTTAAAACTAGAGGCTCTGTGCAAAAGATTCATGTACTTGGGAGTCCCTCAGCCTGACCTGCACCCTCTCATAGTCTAGGAGTCCTTGGGGGATGTCCAACTGCTAGCTTAGGCCCAGTCCCCCTGGAGGGAAGGGTGGGACTAAGCTAGAAGCTGGACATCCTTAGCATTGCTGTGGAGGTGGGAGAGGCTCCCACTGCCATGCTGCGCTCCCCAGGCATGAGCCCAGCTCAGGGCTTCTGACTGAGGGATGCTCCTGCTATGGGATTGCACTGACCACAAGGGGGAAGCTCCTGGGTTGACCATTTGCCCCCTGGTGGTCAGTGTACATCATAGAGATGGTAGTTCTACCATATTAGCCTTTTATTAATCATAGGTTGCTATCTATACTAATAGGTCATTATTCAACATGACAACCAACTGAGTATAGCTATTCAGTTTTCAGTGAATGCTTCTGATAATGTCTCCTTCCAATTGCCTGATATTAACAATAACTTTGCACCCTGATTTGTACCTGGGAGTTTATTGTCATCAGATATGGCAAAGTGACAGATATAAAGACAACTGTCTTTGAAAGAAGAGTTTATTATGTTTTCCAGGAAAAGGGGCATACCACACCACTCAAGGCCACATAGGGAAACAACAAAGAAACAAGGTCAGTCAGGAGGTAGGAGAAGTGAAGAGAAAGCACAGGCCATGGCCTTTATGGGGATTTCCTTGAGAAAGGCAAGGCAGGTTAAACAGAGTAGAAATGGATAATTTAAATAACCCAGGGGACTTTGGGTATAGGTCTCCAATTATCTGGTATCTAGACCTTGGTTGATTCCAGGCAGGGGAAATATCGGCTCTGTGTGTGAGGGTTAGATAAAGGAAGTGGATGGGGATATGAACCAAGATCTGGCTGGTTTTCATATGAATAGCGTGGTAGCAGAAAGCTGTTCCCTATCTCTAGGAATTATTTAGGACTGGGAGGGACAGTCTCTTCCAGCCAGGCCCTCTAAAATATCAAACTCTTATAAAACACAGAGAAAATCATGATTAATACACATACTCCATGGCAAGAGGGAATGGGATGTTATCATTAGCCCTTGTTCCATCATTTATTCTATTGTAAACTTTAAAAACATTGTTCTTGGGATGTAATAGTCTGGGCTTTTAATCTCTTCTAGTCCATTCCTGACAATGCTCACAATTGCCTTTGCTACCCTTTCTGAATCTTCTAGTTACAAGAGCCTAAGGATACCCCTTCTCTAATAAGAACCCTAATTTTCCTATAAATACCTTATGTTCCACCTGATTTTACTTTGCGCAGACACCTTCTTTCTTACACAAATGAAATATATCTAATAATTAATATATTTGTCCAACACTTATTAATTAAATAATGATGAAATTGATGTTGAGGCAAACTTTTTTCTTTGGGGACTCAATGACACAAAGATTCCATGGGTTAAGTCAGTTGAGACTGGGAACATGTTGGAAGGAATTGGTTGGCTCAGTCATATTCTCTCTTCTTTCCTCTTTCTCTTCCCAGCTCCCCTACTGAAACTTAATACCATTTATTTGTCTTTGTTTTTTTAAAACTCCCAACCAGGCAAATGTTCACTGCAGCTCTGTACCGACTGGAGACCAGTCCCTGTCCTATATCCATGGCCTCCCCAGGAAAAAACTTAGAGACTGGTCTTCAGAGCAGATGGAAAGGGTACGCTCTGACCAGCCAGAGGTGGGTATACTGAGAGTTGGTGAGTTGTTTTCTATTGTGGATGAAGGGGTTTTATCTAATTGGCTTTTCAGGAAGCTTTCCTGGGGAGTTCACAGGAATTCCTCAGATGTCCCAACTGAACTTCTCACCTTCCTCCCACCTTCCATCTCCCAAATCCAATGGGTTTCTAAGATGTCATTCTAAATTCTCACATAATTAAAAGGTCATTTTGTAAAACAAAGGTTATATACCTTAAGTATGTATGTACTCTGAAGTTATTTGCTTCTTTTATTCTGAAGAAGATTATGAGGCATTGTAAACTAATAAATATACCCAGATTGAACACTTACCCTCAGGTATTACTAACTTGTCCTATACTAGGCTAGGCCTAAAAGTAGATGCTCTGATACCACCCTACTAGGCTTCGGCCTCCTTACATGAGCCTTCAACCATCTTATTTCAGAGCCCTGTTAATTTTTGGTGGTGATTGTTGTTGTTTTAGCAGGATATTGGCCAGAGGCTAAGTGGAATGACAAAAGAAGATACTTTTCTTCTCACCCTAGTCAGAAGAGAACTCGAGTCTCGCTCTTTGAGTTCTGGTTTATTAGACAAGCTTCAAAAAGAGCTGAAAATCCTGGATCCCATCGCTTCTGGATTTCTTCTTCAGTCTCAGCTGAGCCACCTCTTCCTGAGGCATGAAGTCCCTCTGCAGTTACCAACAGTCAAGATCCTCTGCCAGAGATTTGCCAGGAGTGGCTCTCCTAAAATGGTATGGCCATCTCGAAATTTCCAGTATGCATTCCTTTCCTTTATTTTACTTGAACCCACCAGAGTAATAGAATTAAAAATCTAGTTTCTTTTTTGAAAAATAACCTTTACTATTGACCCCTAAGATGCAGATGCAATATATATATATATATATATATATATATATATATATATATATAATCAGAGAGGGAGAGAGATAAACATCAATGATGAGAGAGAATTATTGATTGGCTTCCTCCAGTATATCTCACACTGGGGATAGAGCCCACAACCTGGGCCTGTGCCCTGACCAGGAATTGAACTGTGTCCTTCTGGTTCATAGGTCAACACTCAATCACTGAGCCTCACCAACCAGGCAAGTTAGGTCTCTTAGACCTGCTTAATTTCCCTTTAATGAGCTTTTCCTTCCCAACTTTCATTATCTAGTCCTAACACTAGTGGGATAGTTAAAGAGTCAAGATAACAAGTGCACTTAAATCCATTTACAAGCTGAGCAGTTGGTAAAAGTGGAGAACTTGACTTAAAAAGTGTGATAGTTCCTAAAGCATTAGAGAGTGCGGGGGGTGAGGGTGGTAATTTTTTAAATATAACTCACCACCACAATTTGCTGATTAGGAAACTGAGACCCAGAAGGGTTAAGGAACTTGCCCAGGGCACCTAGAGAATTAATGGCAGGCCCAGTGCAGAGATAAATGTTCCCCAACACAAGGGCAGGGTTCTTTCTTTGCTTGTACTTTCCAAGTTCACATTGAAAATGAATACAAAACAAGGTCCAAGTGTAACCATTCAGGGAATTAGAGGAAAGTGCCCTAAAAGAGGAAGAGGTAATAGCAATGGGAAAATCATTAGTGAGCATGTGATGATAGAAAACCAGGCCAAAACCAACCTGATTTCATGCTTAGCAGTTAGTAGGTACGCAAATGAATGTAAGTTCTCGCTCCTGCCCATCTTTAAACTGAAAAAATAAAATCAGTTGTATATGTATGAGAAATATTTACAGTTCAATGGCAACTTATTAATATAACCTCCTTGAATCTTTAATTCAATCAAATTGTCTAGTCTGAAATCTAGTTTATATCCAGGACCCTGTCTAGCTTCCTTCTCCCATGCTACCCCTCCACTGTTCTAGAGTTGTCTGTCTACCATGATCCTTAGGATGCCATCCAGCCCATCAATGAAAATGGACAACATTCCTCCAGTTCTTTTCTATGTAAAATAATAATAATAATTAAAATTAAAATCTATATATATAAAAGCCTTAGCAGCTGTCCAACCATTTGCCTGGTAGCTATGATGTATAATGACTACCAGGGGGCAGATTCCCCAACCAATAGAGGAGGAAGCCCAATTCATTTCTGAGGTACTATCAGCCCTGAATCTGGTCACCTGTACCTTAGACCCAGTGGGTGGGAGCCAGTGGGTGTCCAGGTCCAGAGGCTGGGCCTGCAGGTGGGGTCTTGCAATGTGGGACCCCTTGGGGGATGTCAGAGAGCCGGTTTCAATCTGATCCCCGTAGGCCAGGCCGAGGGACCACACCAGTGCACGAATAATAATATTTTTACTTACCTTAGTAACCAAGACCTTATTCCCAAATAATCTGAATATATCTGCTGAGTATATCTAAACATAAGTACATATTGTATATAATCCTATCAAATAAAGACAGAATATGCAGATTGACCATAACTCCACGACAAAGATGGCAGTGCCCACAGCCAATAAGTAGGGAATATACATATTGACGAGACAAGGTGAGAGGTGAAAGGTGGCTTTAACTGGAGTGAAGGCAGTGCTGGCAGCCAGGGGAAGGAAGGCTTATTCTTGCACAAATCTTCGTGCATTGGGCCTCTAGTACATATATAAAAGAGAGAAAGACTAAAGGCTATGTTATAGCATAGTAACAAATAGTCCCAAATCTCAGTTGCTTAAAACAGCAAAAGCTTATTTTTCATTTACATTACATTTCTGTAATGAGTTTGCCACAAGCTCTTCTTGGCACTATCATTATCTTAGCTCCAAAACCCAAGTTGATGAAGCAGACCTTCTGGAATGTTTGGGACATACAGCAGATGGGAAAAGAGCTCTGAAGGCCTCATGTCAACAGTTTAATCCTCAACCCAGAAGTAGCATATGTCCCTTCTGCTTATAACTCATTGGCCAGAACTGGTCATATGGTCCTACTCAGGAAGTCCAATTTTACCATTTGTCCAGGAGGGAGAATAATAGTAATATTTGGTTAAAAAACATTAATAAATATTATATTTTAAAGCTGCTTTAAAAATTCTTTATGGTATAATATTTTAAACATATTTCATTTCAGCAGGCCTCTTTTCCCTACATGTAAATTAAATGAGGATTTTCTGCTTCATATTTAATTTTCAGGTGGATTATGAGAAGCTACTCTGTTTTCTAATAGTGGCAGCCTCAGATGATCCACAGCAAAGCAGAAGAGCCGTGGACAGCAACCTGAGGGAAGCTCAGGGTGGTACCCATCACAGCGAAAGGTACTTCCTCCCTTTCTGTGGGCACGTTATTCCTAGACTTTCAGAACTGGCTGGGCTGTTGGAGGCAATTCCCTATTAGGTGAGCAGTGCAGAAACATAACTGTTCACCAACACTCAGCTTGCGCCTACAGTTTTCTCTCGCTGTGCTGTAAATAGGTGGGCATAGGAAATTATTTGCAACAATTGTATATGTTTCTTAACAGCAGGGTATGTCTTTTTTTTTAATGAGGTTTTGGTGTAAAGATGAAAAAAAAAACCATTCTGAAATAAAATAATGATTGTGGCTCTGGCCGGGTGGCTTAATTGGTTGGTGCATTATCCCGTAAACCAAAAGGCTGTGGGTTTGATTCCCAGTCAGAGCACATACCTATGTTGCAGGATTGATTCCTATCGAGATAGGTACCAGAGGCAAACGATCAATGTTTCTCTCTCCTCCTTTGCTCCACCCTTCTTTTCTCTCTAAAAATTAATAAAACATATCCTCGGGTGAGGCTTTAAATAAATAAGTTAATTAAATGAAAGAAAGTATTGTGTCCTGGTGCAGTACTCATCTAGAGAAGATTCTGGAAATATGTTCAGTCAGTGAACTTCTGACGGCAGGTACTAGCACAGAAAAGTTTGAGGTACAGAATCAATAATCCCTTCCCATAATCTCAAGGGAAAGAAATAATTAAAAGCAAACACAGGAAATGAGGAATATTATTAGAGATGAGACATAGTAAAGCATGACAGTCTCCACGTTCTCTGAGAAAACTGTCAGAGGGCCTTGGCTAGGAGCCTGGGCTCAATCCCTGTCTCCGCCACTAGGTGGAGCCTTGGGCTAGTCACTTACCCTCCCTGTGCCCCCACTCTCCAACTGTAAAATGGGAATAATGTATAACAGTGACCCCGTTAATTCATGCAAAGTTCTTAAAGTCAGTCCTGGTACACGGGAAGTGCTATAGAAGTGTTTGTTACTACTTTTTTACTGTCCTTTTAGAAGATACTCTTTCCAGTTACAAATAATGTGACATAGCGATTAAAAGCCATGGGATAGGAACTTACCTCTCTAAGAAAAAAGTATGATTTTCTATACAAATATCTCTGGGCCAAGGGTTAGATTTAATTCCCTTCTATGTGTACTCTGTTGACTCTGATACTTCATCCAACAGTCGTTGAATACCAGCTGTGTGCCAGGAACACTTTTCTGGGCACAATGAACTCAGAGGTGGGCAAGGCTCAGTCACTTCTTCAAGAGCTCACAGTCCAAACAAATATCACTCTGGGAGTAACTGTCCTATGGAGACCCATAAAGCCCTATATATATTTTTAATACTCAGCAACTACGCTTCATACAATACAGATCGTGAGAGGTAATATGCTGTGCACAGGAAAACATGGCCACGCTGACAGATATGGTGGGTCTTATGAGTCCTAGACAGGAAGCCTCTCCTGAGCTCTAGACAGTTATGTCTCTGCTGTGTGGTGCCATAGACGTCACCCTTCATATTATTTGGCATTTGAGGTTAGGAATAGCGTCTGTCCTGGACCACTCAGTGTCTAGCACAGGTCTAGCATAGTTCCTAGTACATAGGAGATGCTCAATAAATACTTGTTGGATGTAATTGGCACCTCCCATTATCCAAAGGGCTTGCATCACTTCATGTGCAGGGGCATCTGGATTTCTACCCCATAAAAAAGGTGCCTGAAGAGATCATTTTGAACTCATCCCAGAAGGTGCTGTTTACATGAACCAGATAGTGTGTGTGTGTGGAGGCGAAAAATGAATGGCCTGTAATGAACCCAGGCTCTGTGTTTATTAATGTGCTGCTCAGGAAAACACCCTCTTGTATTCTGCAGGTAGAGCTTTACATGAGGCAGCTCTGTGATGTTTTAAAAGCCGCCAGCATCACTAATGGGACCAGATGAAATCCACTCCGGCAGCAGGTTTCCTAAGTAACCCCACCAGCTGCAGTAAATGGGTTCCATACAACACCTGCCAGTTCAGGACTCGGTGTACAGAGACGGGGACCAGAGCCCCATGAATTCCCACCCCCAGAAACTGTCATTGAAAGAAAAGAAGAAAGGAAGAAAAACTTCTGATTAAAATCTGAGACCGATACTTCTGATTGACAAGGCCCAGCTCATGTGCCCTGAGCAGCAAAAAGAAGCTGGCAATGCAAATAGCTAGCATGCAGACTCCTGGGCTGGGGAAGTGGGTGCAGAGCTAGGTGACCAACACAAAATAAATAGCCACTTTTCCTCCTTTTCTGTACCAAACTTTTGGAAAATATTAGCTATTGTTAAATAATTCAGAAAGGTATAGTTTGGTGTCAAGGCTCAAGTAAGAGTTCCAGAGCAAAAGAAAGATACCATATGACCTTTCAGAAAGTTAAATACATCTAAAAATAATTAATTGCAGGTACTGTACCACATCTCCCAGAAATAGTAAGGAAGAAAATAGACTCTACTCACATCTTATGGAGAAAGAAGATTTCCCTAGTAGATGGCTTCATAAGATGTGGGTCAAATCTATTAACCAATTCCAGCCCAATAAATTTAATTTAAAAAAAAAAAAAATTTATCCAGCAGGGGGTGCTAGAGCATCCTGAGGGCCTACTGTGTGCATCAATTCCCATTCAGTGACATTATCTTGGTAGCTTGAAACCAGCAGTGGTGGGAGTATTCACACCAGGAAAATCAGCAACGCTCCAAATTAGGACTTTCTCTTAAAAAGCTGGTAGTTAAAGTTTTACCAGTACATCAAGGTAAATAAACGAGTAGGGGTTTGGGGGTGTCATAGAATGTCCCTCTAGAAAAGTGGCACTGAAGCTGAGACAATGGAAAATAGGAAACGCTTCACTGCTGAGAAAATAGTTTGGCCAGATCTGGAAGGATACACACTTTTGAAAGTGAAATACTAGTATGTATACACCTCAAACTAGTTTCATAAAATAAATGACTCTTGACACTGTCACTCTGGTAATTTTCACCTGTTATGGAAAGTATCAAAAGCCAGTTTTGCTGAACCACCTGAATAATTATATACATTTGCATTCCATCTGGTAAATACGTAATTACTCTCAAACTTTTCTGGGTTTTCCAGCTACAAAAAGCAGAGTCAAGGATAATGCAGGAAGTTTGCCTGGGTCAAAATTTCCTCCTCTACAGGTTCCCTGGTCACAGGGATCTGCCAGTATCTGCCTTGCTTTACTTGTGACATATACCGTTAGGAAATTTATCTGGGCTCAAAAAAAAAGTAAGAAGTGTGTAAAGTAAACTACCATTGACACCTCTAATTTTTTTTTTCTCTCAACCTGGTAAGATTACAAATTTGGTCCATATTCTAGTCGAATGGGTGGGTTCCTTCTGGAGAAGAGACTTGAACTCCCTAGAATGGAACAGATTTGAGTTAGTCTGTGAAGTCACCACGTGCAGTCCCAGGGCTTAGAAGGTGTGTAACACAGGTGAGAGACACAGTATGCAACACACGGCAACTTCCTTGAAGGGTTCACCTTTTCACAGACTTTCCCATGTCCCTCCAAGCAGTGCTGCCCCTCAACACGCCGACTCGCCATCGGAAGTGGCCAGCAGCCTGCTGGAGATTCTAAAGCTGGCACTCAGCACAGCCAACGGCAAGCTCAACCTAGAGAGCCTCAGTCGGAGTTTTCGAAAAGAAGACCACGCGTTGTCCGGCTTCCTGCCCCTACCCAAGGTAACGAAATTAGAATTCAGCTCTGATCAGCCTAAAAGTCTACCCCGGAGCTTTGGGTCTATAGTAAGAAGGCCCAGTTATGATCTGTGTTCTGCCTGTGGATTACATCACACAGTGTTTTCTCTTCTGTGCCAGAGAGGAGAGAAACAAAAGAGAAAAGAAATTGAGAAATGTGCAGCCTTGATACAGGAATTACTTATATTAAGCTACATTTTGTGCCAACAATATGGAATAATATAGCAATACCCAAATAATATTTCACAGTGGAAAACAAGTGTTTGCCAAGACCAAATGTCCATTCCTCACACCCTCACCAGCTTCCGGGAGGTTAGCATGTGGTATCCATTCCTTAGGGATAGCATATTGTAGGGACTGGTGTGACTTATTGCTGGTAGAGCTGAGTGTGCTGTTTTGGGGAGCATTAATTAACAGTGCAGATGTGTTTTATGGAAGAAAATCCAAAATCATAAACTCGAGTCATGAGGCTACCCAGGATATTGGCACAATAATAATTACCACAAATGCTACAATTCCTTTAAAACCAAGGCATCACCACCAAGCTTGCCGGTGTTCTCACCAAGTGCCAAATCCCTAACACTGAAAATACAAAATCTAAGTAGTTGTTAGAACAGAACCTGTTTAATAAATTTTAAAAATTGAACCCAAGGACCTCAGTTAGCGAGTGGCAGAGGCAGGATTCAAAGTATAGGACAAACTGAAAATTAAGAGCTAGAATTGGCAGAAGCTATCTGGAAGGTTCCATTGAGCTCAGGACACAAAAGTTAGAATTCCAGAGGAGTAGAGAAATAGAAGGAATTGAAAGTTACAGCAGGGGGTGGGGTGTGAGTCCCATTGGAAAGATTTAAAAATACCTTTCATCTAAGTCAGTGGTCAGCAAACTGCAGCTCATGAGCCACATGCGGCTCTTTGGCCCCTTGAGTTTTTAGCAAAGGCCATCTTAAGAGTACCATAATTAAATTAATAACAATGTATCTACCAATATAGTTTAAGTTTAAAAAATTTGGCTCTCAAAAGAAATTTCAATCATTATACTGTTGATATTTGGCTCTGTTCTAAGTAAATAGGGATTAGAATTGAGAGCAGAGAATTTAAAAGAACAAGTGATGAATAAGGAAGCAAAGACATGATATGCTAAAAGTAGGATCTTATTCTGGCACAGAAGTAGCTTGCTCTGTGCTTTCATTTATAAGTCAATGAAGCATGCAAAGGCAAAGCTCGTGTGTGTGTGTGTGTGTGTGTGTGTGTGTGTATGTTATACTTGTATGCATGTTTTACTAGAAAGATAGGATACTACAGGAGATTCCACACATCCTACACACACTTTTTTTATGCTCAGGAATAAATCAGTATGAATAAGTTAAGAAGCATCAATTCTTTGTTATTAGAAATTACATAACAGCATCAGTGATGCTCAAACGTTCTCAGTCAATACTCTTAGAGTGGAACATAAATGACTTGAAAATCAAAGTAAATTTGCTTAACCTCTTTGATTCTCAGGTTTTTCATCTGGAAACACTGGGTTCCAGATGTCTGCCTCCTGTCTGTTGTTAAACAAGATAAGTATGTGAAGGCACTTAGCACACTGCATGATACCTGAGCACAGGCAGGCAGAGTGGGCCTTGAACTTCTCCCCCCACAGCTGGCCCTGCAAGCTTAAATTCATGGTTCATATCCAAGGAAATGGGACACATTTTCCTGAAAGCCGGTCTGCCTCTCATGAGCCATCTGGCATCTTTTAAGACATCTGGAACTCACTCAAAGTATAGTACAGTTCCGGGAGGTATGTAAGACACAATTCTGTTTCCCCAGGACGTGAGAGAAATTGAAGCCCAAGGGACATTGGATACAGAAGGCAGTAGTTTCAGCTGAGCATCTTTATTTTAGGACACAGGACTTCAGAGTGGCCTGGGAAGAGCCATCTGAATTAGGAGGGGTTTTCTTTTTGACCAGTACTAAATCTCCTTGATGTGAGAGAGTCACAGTACAGAGAATCACTGGCCTCCTTAAGTTTCTTGTAAAATCTCTGCACCCTGGGCTAGAGAGAGGTGGGGTGCTGAGGCACCTCCTCACAGCCAACATTTCAAATGGTTCAAAATGATTGATAGCCTCTCTGATAAATAAATGCAGTCTTGAAGGGTAATATGAGTCTTGTCACTCAAATCAATGGTATTTTGATCACTGTCAGAGAACAATATGAAAACATATCAACTACCTATCATCTTCATCCTATGCACTCACACATCCTGTTCATCTAGACAGTGGTTCTCAACCTTTTTATTGCCATGACCCCGTAGTACAGTTCCTCATGTTATGGTGACTCCCAACCATAAAATTATTTTTGTTGCTACTCCGTAACTGTAATTTTGCTACTGTTATGAATCGTAATGTAAATATCTGTATTTCTGATGGCAACCCTGCTAGTGGTTCTCAACCTGCTGCAGAGCCTAAGACCATCAGAAAACAGATATTTACATTACAATTCATTAACAGTAGCAAAATTACAGTTATGAAATAGCAATGAAAATAATTTTATGGTTGGGGGTCACCACAACATGAGGAACTATATTAAAGGGACGAGGCATTAAAAAGGTTGAGAACCACTGCTCTAGCATGTTGTTAATACAATGATAACTCCTGGAAAGACTGCTGAGGCATCATGAATCCACATACATTTATTGACCACCCTGATCATTACCCAAGTAGGTTCAATGGGTCTTTATAAACTAAGACACTCCCAAGCACATAGGCTCAAGTTTAACCTTTTTTTTTTTTCTTTGAACATATTTTATTGATTTTTTACAGAAAAGAAGGGAGAGGTATAGAGAGTTAGAAACATCCATGAGAGAGAAATATCAATCAACTGCCTCCTGCGCAGCCCCCACTGGGTATGTGCCCGCAACTAAGGTACATGCCCTTGACCTGAATCAAACCTGGGACCCTTCAGTCCACAGGCCAACACTCTAGCCACTGAACCAAACCAGTTTAACCCTTTTTATACATAACCTATATTCATTTTTCATCTCATGAACTCATTCTCTTTCCATTATACATCCCAAACTACTCCCAGACTTCCCTCCCAGGAGGAGTTATCTAGAACACAGGTGGCTGTCCTTCTAATTACTCTGCTTCATTTTCATGCAACTTCTTTATTACCATCAACAGGGAGTCTCATTACTAAGGGAACTCTGGCTTTGTGAATTAAGTTTGTTCTGGTGATAAGACACTATAACACTAGTTTAGCTAGTGAGAGTTTTCTGAAGTTTGTCAGCTCCTCTTTGGTAGTTTGTTGTTTTTATTTTTATATCAGTACACTTTGCCCTAAAATTATAAAATTATTTTTACTAACTTCAAATCTTCTCTCCTTTCAGTTCAGCAGCCATCCATGTGGCATGTTTATCCTATACTTGCATTCAACATGTTATTCATTCAATGTGTTCTGGGAACTGTGATAAGGCTAGGGCAACAGACTATTACAATTTCGGGAGCTCAGTGGAAAGGTGACATTTTTAAACATGTCACAGTCCTATATAACAAATTCAGTGATGGCCATAACACTGAGCACAGAGAAGAAACTCCAACCTAGCCTAATCCATAAACTCTTCACAGGAGAAGATACAAATACTAAATCTTGGAGGATAGATTAATTTCGCAAAGAACTGGGGAAAGGAACAGAGGAAAGATTCAGAAAGGTGTTCTAGGTAAAAGGAGCAATGAGAAATGGCCCTGGAATGAGAAAGAGCATGGTTCATTTTGTGTGGAGGCAGCACACAGTGAATGGTGGATGGTGGGAGATGCTGCTCAAATGATGCCAGAATGGGAAGTAGAAGCTAATTTATGACATTCTAAAGGAGTATAAATTTTATCCTGAAGGCACAGAGGAATCATCAAAGGATATTAAGCAAGTGAATGATATGATCAAATTTGGAATTTGAAAAGAGCATTCTAATAGAATATGGAGAATTAGAGGCAGATAGATCTCTAGAAGGCTGGTCCAGTAATTCTAGCAAGAAATCATGAGGGTTTAAACCAAGGAAGTTAACAGGAGGGATGGAGCTATTAGGAAGTACAAAGTAGTTCTTGATGACTCATTGAATGGGGTCTTGAATTATGAAGAATCAAAAATGGCTCCCGAGGTCCTGGCTTTGGTAACTTGATGGCTGGTGGTGCCATTCTCCAAGACAGGAAACAGAAAAGTTGATGGGTATAGGAAGGAATAATGAGTTCGGTTTTGAACATGTTGACCTAGGTTTAGAGATTAAAACTTAAAAAATGATTTAAGATTCTTCAATACGGAGCTGAAGTCACATGAGCAGTTAGAGTTACTAGGGACACAAGGAAAAGGGTGAGGGTGAGGAAGACACTCATTAATGAGGAATAGGTAGACAAAAAGAAGCCAATAAAGGAGACAAAAAATAAAAGATATGTGGGAGTGGTCAAGAAGCCAAGAGATAAGCCATATCACATGCTGTCATCAATAATTAGGAATGAGAAATATTCATTAAATTTGAAAATAGAGAGGTGACTAGTGACTTGGTAAACACAGTTTAAGCATCCATTGTGATGGAGCAAAATGCAAATGAAGTAAATGGGAAGAGAGGAAGTTGAGGGCATCTGTGCATTACTCTTTCAATGAGAATCTAGGGGAAATGAACATTTATTTCACATGTCAGTTTCTAAATAAGAGATACTTTATTTACATTTGATTTTTTAAAATCTCTGATTAAACAGGAAAAAATTCACATAATCACTTTCTTATTGAACAAGGGTCATTCTTTTAATATCTAACCTCTAAAGGATTTTAATAATAATTCTGAAAAACACTAAACTGCCAGGATGTCCTGGTAGATATTTCTATTATTCCTCGACAGCTGTCAGCAGTCAGTTCTTAGCAGCTATCAATCAATCTGCTTCTAGGAACCCTGATGTACTATTTCCAATCTGCTGCTCATTTTAGCCTGGAGCATAATTCAATATTGCCAGCAGTAAATAAATTGTTTTTAGAATAACATTTTAATATTGATGTTTCAAAATATGCCCTGGCCAGTGTAGCTCAGTTGGTTGGAGCATCATCTCATATACCAGAAGGTGATGAGTTTGATTCCTGGTCAGGGCACATGCCAGGTTATAGGTGCCAACCCGGGTTACAGGCTGAGGTGTGGGAGGCAATGATGTTTCTCCCTCATACCAATGCTTCCTTCCCTTTCTTCCTCCTTCCAAAAAGTAAAATACATTAATGTGCTGTAATCATAACTATGAATCAATTCTCATTTATGGAGTGAAATGGAATAATGTGACTAATTTCCTCTCAAAATTTATTCTTTACTAACTTCTGCCTAAGCACACTCCACTGTTCAGTGTCTTTTTTCTTTTAATATATTTTATTGATTTTTCACAAAGAGGAATAGAGAGTTAGAAACATTGATGAGAGAAAATCATCAATCAGCTGCCTCTTGCACAACCCCTACTGGGGATGTGCCCGCAACCAAGGTACATGCCCTTAACCAGAATCAAGCCCGGAACCTTTCAGTCTGCAGGCTGACACTCTATCCATTGAGCCAAACTGGTTTCGGCCCACTGTTCAGTGTCTTTAACTCATCCATTCACTTACTCATTCATCCATGTATTCATTTATTCAATAATTATTGCTCTCTTATTTTTTAACAGTATGCTAGGCAGTGGTGATAAGAAAATGAATGAAATGCAATTCCAGGCCTCAGTAGACCACTGGCTTGTAGAGAAGCTCTAATGAACAGATAATTACAGTTCAGCATGGAAAGGGGTATAAAACTAGAGAGTGAATAATGTCAAAATACATTCAATCTCTAAAAAGCACCATGCTCTATCTCACCCATTATTTACAATGCTTTTCTTCTTCCTGGGTTCTCCCCAAACCCTTATTCTCCTAGCCAAGTCTTTCCTATTTTTTTCATGTTTCAAATCCATTGTGTGTGTGTGTGTGTGTGTGTGTGTGTGTGTGTGTGTGTTTATTTGTTTGTTTGTTGTTTTTTTCTGTTAAGCTTCCCTGACACAATTCCTCTCTCTACACCTAGTAAGTAATGCTTGCAAGTTTCAAATCTAGATTTGTTGTTATTTTTCTCCATATAGACAAATGAAAATTATCTCCTTGTTTCTTTTAAGTCTGGGTTTTATTATCATTCAGGTATGGTCAGACCAACAGATCAGGAGATGATTGCCATTGAAAAACTAGTGTGGTACTCATAGTTCCCAACAGGAAGTGCATGGCACCCTTCCTCTACCCTCTACCCCCCCACCCCAGGTCACACAGGAAAGCACCAGAGGCTATCAGGGGACCTGTGGGAAAGGCCTTCATTGTGGAATGAGCAAGACAAGGTAACTAGGTTTAGGGTTGACTAGGTTGAATAATTTGGATCCTGTGACATAGGTTCTCTTCTGATTTATGTGGTACTTGGCCCTGGAGTGACAAGGGCAGGGAAACAGTGGCTCAAGCCTGAGAGCCCAATGAAGGAGGTGGTTGGTTTGTATATGAGGGGAACACTTTCCTGCCAGTCCATTACTTTGTCTAGGAATTGGCTAGCCCTGAGAGGAGCAGTCTCTTCAGAGTCAGCAAAGCCCCATGATGTTAATAAAAAAAATAAAAATTTAAAAAAATCAGAAGAGAAAGGCATGCTTGATGCACTTGGTATACTGAGATTGTTCTCAAAATAATAATAGTAGCTACTATTTAACACTAAATTAGACATTTCTTTATTTTTTGTCCCTTTCTTCTTTCCATTCTCTCTCCCTTCCTTTGTCCCTCTTTCTTATTCTTTCTCTTGCTACTTCTTTCCTTTCCTCTTCTCTCTTCTCCTTTTTCTTCTTCTTCCCTCCCTTCCTTCTTTTCTTTATTCAACAGATGTTAATTCAGTGTCTACTGAAAGCTGGACACTATTCTAACTGCTTATTTTCTTGTGTAATCTTTACAGAATCCTGGGAAATAGAAAACAGTCTTATTTAGTAGATGCAGTAATTGAGCATAGCAAGGTTAAGCCTGCCTGCTCGCCCCTAACTGCCCTCCCCTCCTGGCCTGATCACCCCTAACCTTCCTAAGGTCACATAGATAACAGGCAGCAGATTGGGTGTTCAGAATAAGTCCTGTTTTATTCCAAAGTCTATATGCTTAAACATTATGCTAACCATACAACATATGCTATCACATCCCTAAAAGTCTGATATGTTTGAATCTAAGTATCACCCACCCACCAAGTTGAGAACTGAAATGGTTTGTCAGCTAGACTCAGAATACTAAGTACATAGGAAAGTGCAGTGACACTTCATTCATTCATCCAACAAGTAATTTATTGAGCGTCTGGTTTCTACTAAGTTCCATGATTTATGTGGCATTGAAAAAGTCACTTAATCTTTCTTAATCTTGGTTTCCTCATATATAAAATAAAGGTAATATTAACATGTGAACACAACAAGCTTGTTTTGTAAATCAAAGTAGATGTGCAAAAACATTTTGCAATTTATCTATATAATCTATATTAATAAAGAGCTAATAGGCTCATGGTTGACCATGACGTTAACTGGGGTGTTGCTCCAGAGATGAGGCAGAAGTGGGGAGGCCCCCAGAGAAGGCGGGACCATCCTGTGTCTGGGAGGGCAGGGGTGAGAGCCCATAGCATCCCCCTGACCAGTCCTTCACCACCCACCACTCACCTACCAGGGGAAGGAGCACAGTGCAGCAGGCAGGAGGCTTCCACACTCTCCTCTGGTGCCATGATGGGGTGCAGCCACTGCATTGCTCTGGAGAGGGGGCAGAAGTGGAGAGAAGACAGGACCAGCCCGAGGCGACCCTAGGGACTGAGGACGGGACTTGAAGCATCCAGAGAAGGCCAGAGGGTTTGGGGGCTGGGACAGGCACACTGGAATTCTGCTTGAACAGGTCCAGGTGTCAAGGCAGGGCTGTAGGTGGGTGGGCAGTGCCACACAAATTTGCATGCTGGGCTCCTAGAAGTATATAATTTCTAGGACTTGACCACCAATTCTGTGGCTAACTAATATGTAAGATCAGAATTTTAAAGTTCAGTGACTTCTGGGTAATGGACTATACTCTGTATCAACCAAACAAGATCTTGCTGTTGCTGAGCATTTAGTTGGACATTCTTGTCTTGAATGATATCCTAATGGTCAACAGAGTGCTCTCTGGGATATTAATTCTTTTCAAAATCATATAGGTTTTAATTTTTAATTTCATTACAGTGACAATGTCTTTTTATGCGCAGGTCAGGGCTATCTGTGGGAAACATGGATTATATCTGACTTTGAGCCTTCTGGAAACATTGCTCAACCATCAAGATTTGGCTTACCAAAATGAAATAAAGTAAGTTAATTTTTTTATTCACAGTCCTCTGAAAGGATACCAAACATTTAGAGATCCGTCTCTAAATTACAAGTTTTATGTGTGAAACTATCAATCTCATTACCAACAGATAGAATTAAGAAATGATTGCTTATGTTAAAACACATTGCCAACCAGTAGTTTTTGAAGGACCATTGCATTTTGAAGTTATTTATTACATGTTCTTACAAGCTAATATCTTTTGAAAGTATGATACTTTGTAAAACACTGTGTAATATGAAACAAGAATTCTTGCAATTCACAAAGTATTAAGGCCAAACACTTTCCGATTTGTGAAAATATGAATTATTCCCAGCTGCAATGTATTAAGACCAAAGGCTTTACTTAGCCAGAGAAAAACAAAAGCACTGAATTTCTGGCCAAGAGGCAGCCCAGAGCAGTGATTACTGATGGGGGGGAGGAGGTATGAGGTAAGCTCATCTTATTGAACAACACTGGGGAACCTAAACTTAGCCCAGGAATTTTCTTGAGCTAAAGAAGAAAATCTCTCTAAATCGTGGGTTCCTCATATAGAAAATTCAGGTAATATTGTATTCTACTTCTTGTGGAGTTCAGGAAGGCCAAGGAGGCTAGAATGCACAGTACAGGGTAGCAGAGAGGAGAGATCCTCAGAGAGTTCTTTCTGGGGTTTTCCCAAGAGTTGGGAAATGTGTGCATTTGAGAAAAGTACCAAGTTCAGAGAAAGAAAAACCAAAAGAGAAAGGTGGGAAAATGTTTTAGATCCCACAGGGCTGGGAATAGTTCCTATTTTCACAAATTGGAAAGGAACACATGTAGCATTGAATGGAGTCATCATAAGGATGTTGTGCTATAGTGAGGCCAAATTTCTCTGGACAAATTAACAAATCTTATAAATCCTAATAATGCTTAAAATGAGCAAACTGTTTCATACTTACTTAACTATATCCAAGAACAAACTTCTAAAAAAATAAAAAGATCAAAAACATAAAATTCACAATTTCTGGCATTCATATAAAAATTACCAGGCATTAAAAGAGCATCTTACTTCACTCAGATGTTTGAAAAAAATCCAAGTCTTCACAAAGTATTCTACATGATCTGCTTCCCCATTACTTCTCTGGCTCCATCTACAAGTTTCTTTGCTCATTGTATTTCAATTACACTGTCCTCCTCTTCTTCCTCAAACATACCAGATACAAGTCCACCTTAGCACCTATTTTCCAAATGTTCCCCCTACCTAAAATGCTTTCACCAGATATCTTCATGCTACTCCACTTTCAAGTTTTTGCTCAGATGTCACCTATCAATAAGGCTTACACTAACTACCCTATTTAAAGTTTTAATTCCCCTCCATTCTTACCCTTAACCTGCTTTCCTTTGCACTCTTCTATACATTTATCAACTTCTAATGTATTTGGTAATTTTCTGGTGTGATGTTTATTATTATCTGTTGATTTTTGATAGACTATAGTGTCATAGGACAGGCGGGATCTTTGTTTTATTCATTGATGTATCCCAAAGGGTCTTACAAGCATGTCAAACTCATTATTTAATTTGAGTTTGACATGCTTGTGATTGCCTGTTCATGTAGAAGGCATTCAAAAAATATGGAATTTAACTTAACTAGAAAAGTTATATAGTCTCAAAATACTCTTAAGGATATAGATACATAAATTCTGCCTAGTCCCTGGCTCATGATCAAATTGAAGAAAACATTCTCTAATCACCTCATCAAAATCAGACCCCCTTTTAATATATTTTCTAGCACCTATCATTATTTGTAATATTTATTTAACAATCATTTACTCAGTGCCTGCTGTACGCCAGTCACTATTCTAATTGTTGGAAATATAGATGTGAATAAAACAAAGCTCCTTCCTTCATGAAGCTTGTAATCTAATGAGAAAGAACAAGCTAGAACATGTGACATATCACATGGTGATAAAAAGCAATCCAGAAAAACAAAGAAGACTAAAGGTTAAAGGAAATATCAATTAATAAATAAATGATGATAGAAGGTTGAGCTTAGTCAGTGAATTTCTGCCAGACCAAATTTGGACAAGGGAGTTTCTCTTCTCTAAAACCTTGGAGGGATGATTGGCAAGATGGTGCCCGGCAAGAAAGTAAGGAGAGTGTGTGGGAGAGTAAGGGAGCAATTGAGGAGTGTGTGGACATGTCTGGTGTGTGTGTGTGTGTGTGTGTATGTGTGTGTGTGTGTGTGTGTGTGTGTGTGTGTGTGTGTGAGGGAGAGAGAGAGAGAGAGAGAGAGAGAGAGAGAGAGAGAGAGAGAGCGCTAGGGACAGTTAGATCCTGCAGATCTTCCAAGGGGCTGCCAAACTGGGCAGTCTTAGACAATGAAACCCTGCAGCCATCGTGGATACTCTGGGGTTTAGCGGGCACAGAGACCACACCATTTTGTAAAACAACTATTTGAGATTAGTATCCTAGCCTCAGCATCACCCAGTCTGGTCTCAGATGCAAACCAGGACCCTGTAGCCACTAGGGACAAAGACCTGCAACCATAGCTGCAGACCCACAGATACCAAGAATCCGGACATCCTGGCAGCAGATTTCTCTGAGTCACAGAGCCCACCCCACTTCCCACAGGCTCGTTGCAGAGCCATAGAAATTGTTGGACCCACCCCATGCAAGCAGGCCACTGAGAATATGTTTCCCAAAGTGCGCACTCCCATGACCAAACACCATGCCCACACAGGATGGCTGTGCTACCTGAATTTGAGCCTGGGTGTGTGGACACTGGGAGGCTGTTTCCTACAGTGTGCACTCATGCGACCAGACCCCACACCCACACAGGGCAGCAATGCCACCTGACTTTGATTCTTGGAAAGTGCACATGGAAGTCTGTTTTCTGCAGCAGAAGAATGGACCTCCTGCCAACACAGGGCAGCTGTGAAACCTGGTTCCCCAAGCAGACCAGGGACCCTGATTCTTGGCACGAGCCTGCACCAAGCAATAGAGACTCTGATACTTAATTTACTGTTTGGGCACAGGGGAACTCTGATTTTCAGCACATGCCAACAGGGTCTCTTTTTTAGCTCAGCGCAGGTGGGGTCCCTGATTCTAGGTGTGTGCACAAGGCTTCACTGAGTGCTGGTAACTCTGATCCTGTGCAAGCATGGCTCCTACCAATCCATGACAACCACACATCTTGGTGTCAGAGCTCTTCAGTGACACTCAAGTGGCATGAAGCTCCCACTGCACATGGCCCAGGCCCCCACAACTCAGCATTTGAACCTTCTGGTGATAGTTAGAATGGGGAGACAACAAAACAATCCCCAGAGGAAAGAAAAAGAGGAATCGCCAAGAAAGGAAATAAATGAAATGGAGGCATTCAACATGACAGAAAAAGAATGTAGAGTAATGGTCATACAGTTCCTACACCAGATAGATGAGAAAATTAACAACCTATGCAAAAATCAGGAAAAAATAAAAAATGATATAGCCACAATCAAAAAAAAATCATAGAAGGTTTCAACAGTAGAATAGAATAAGGAGAGTACTAAATTAGTGAGTTAGAAGATAAGGTAGAGAAATAAGCCCAATCTGAATAGCAACTAGAGAAAAATAATAAAAAGCAGGAGAGCCTAAAGGAGTTTTGGGACAACACAAAATGAAGTAACATAGATATAATAGAGCTGCCAGAAGGACAAGAATAGCAACAGAGATTAGAAAATTTATTTGAAGAAATAATGACAGATAACTTCCCTGATATGGAGAAGATAAAAGTTACCTAAGTACAGAGTCCCAAGCAAGATGAATCCCAAAAGCCCCACAACAAGACACGTAATAATTACAATGGCAAGTGTTAATGACAAACAGAGAATCTTAAAGAGAAAGAGAGTCCCTACGAAGGATTCCCCATCAGATTATCAGATAATTTCTTAATAAAAACACATAAAGCTACAAGGGAATGGAAGGAAGTATACAAAGTGATGCAAAGCAAAGGACTGAGTCCAAGAATACTCTATCCAGTAAGACTATCAATCAAAATTTAAGGGGAAATCAGGAGCTTCATAGACACACAAAAATAAGCTACAGGAGTTTACCACTACCAAGTCAGCAATGCAAGAAATGCTAAAGGGACTGGTGTAAAAAGAAGAAATAGAAAGGGAGAAAGGAACACAGGCATAAAGTAAAGAAATGGCTACAAACAAATATCTATCAATAATAACATTAAACTTAAATGGATTAAATCCTCCTATCAAAAGAAATTGATTGAATGGATAAAAACACATGACCATATATATGCTATCTACAAGAGACCCACCTCAGGACAAGGGACCCACACAAATTGAAAGTGAAGGGATGAAAAAGAAAAAGTGAAGAGATGGGAAAATATCTACCAGGAAAATGAAAATGAAAAAAAAAAAAAGCTGGGGTAGCAATACTTATATCTGACAAAATAGACTTCAAAGTGAAGACCATGGCAAGAGATAAGAAAGGCCACATCATTATACTAAAGGGAGAAATCCAACAAGAGGATATAACTCTGGTAAACATTTACGCACCCAATGCAGGATCACCCAAATATAATACATTAAAAAAAAACTTTGGAAGTTATCAGAAGAGAGATTGATAGCAACACAATCATAGTAGGAGACTTTAATACCCCATTAACATCATTGGATAAATCCTCTAGACAAAAAAAAATTAGCAAAGAAACATCAATCCTAAACAACTCACTATTTCACATGGACTTATTTGACATCTTTAGAACATTCCACCCCAAAACTACTGAATATACATTCTTCTGAAGTGCAGATGGGTCATTTTCAAAGATAGACCAGATATTGGGACACAGGCAAAGTCTCTCCAAATTCAAGAGGATTGAAATCATTGGAGGCTGGATAGCATACTATTAAACAATGAATGGGTTACCAAAGAAATCAGAGAAGAAATAAATAACATCCTGGAAACAAACAAAAATGAAAACACAGCAATCCAAAATCTTTGGGACATAGTGAAAGCAATCCTGACAG